TGCTGCTGCTGGTGATGGTGGTGGCGCTGCTGCTGCTGCTAGTGGTGGTGGTGGTGGTGGTGGTGGTGGTGCTGCTGCTGCAGTTGCTGCTGCTGTTAGTGCTGGTGGTCATGGTGCTGCTGTTTCTGCTGCTGCTGCTGCTAGTGCTGGTGGTGGTGGTGGTGGTGGTGGTGCTGCTGCTGCTGCTGCTGCTGCTGCTAGTCGTGGTGATGGTGGTGCTGTTGCTTCTGATGTTCGTGCTGCTGCTGCTGGTGTATGTGGTGCTGTTGCTGCTGCTGAGGTGCGTGCTGCTGCTGCTGGTGTATGTGGTGCTGTTGCTGCTGCTGAGGTGCGTGCTGCTGCTGCTGGTGTATGTGGTGCTGCTGCTGCTGCTGAGGTATGTGGTGCTGCCGCGTATGTTAGTGTTGCCGCTGCTGCACTAAGTGCTGCTGTTGTTGCTGCTGCTGGTCTCAGTGCTGCTGCTGCTTCTCGTGCTGCCGTGCTCCTGCCGGTGCTGTTGCTTTAGATAGCCACCGTCTAGGCCTGCTGCTGCTATCCTTTGTGCTGCTGCTGCTTTGCTGCTGCTGCTGCTGCTGCTGCTGCAGCGCCCTCCCCACAGATCTACTCACTTCTCTGTCAGTTCTCTCTCCATCTAGAACTCGTATTTTATTTTATTTTAAATTATTTTTTTTACTAATCATAAGTTTAATTAATTGTTATTTTTAATTTATTATTTTCAATAATTTTTTTAAATTATTTTTAATTTATTATTTTTTTGTTTATTTTATTTGCTGCCATTTGCAGACTCGCGTACTTCACAGAAATCGGAGACACCGATGATATGGAGCTCCCGGAACAAACAACAAAAAATGTGCTGCTGCTGCTGCTGCTGCTTCTGCTGCTGTGGCTGCTGCTGCTACTGCAGCTGTTACTTTTTTGCTGCTGCTGCTACTGCTGTTGTTACTTTTTGCTGCTGCTGCAGCTGCAGCGGCTGTTTGTATTGTTGCCGTTGCGTGCATCTGCGTGTTTGTGGTGCTGCTGCTGCTGCTGTTTATGCTGCTGCTATTTGTGCTGCTGCTGCTGCTGTTCGTACTGCTCGAGGTGCTGCTGCTGTTGCTGCTTTTGCTGCAGCAGCAGCAGCAGGAATGAGGTGCAGCTGTCTATTTGTTTCCTTTTCAGTCTGTGGGGCCTCAAGTGTGGGGAGCGGAGCTCGACTTCCATGACCACGTCAGTTGCTGCTGCTGCTGCTGCTGTTGCTGCTGTTGCTAGTGCTGCTGCAGCTGCTGTCGGTGCTGCTACTGCTGCTTTTGGTGATGCTGCAGCTGCTATTTGCGCTGCTGCTGCTGTTACTGCTGCTGCAGCTGCTGTGGGCGCTGCCGCTGCTGCCGTTGGTGTTGCTGCAGCTGCTATTTGTGCTGCTTCTGCTACCGTTGCTGTCGGTGCTGCTGCTGCTGCTGCTGCCGTTCTTGCTGCTGCTGCTACTGTTTGTGCTGCTGCCGCTGCTCTTTGCTGCTGCTGTTCCGAGTGGATTCTCCTAGTTTCTAAACCGCCGGCCGGCAGTCGCTTAATCTGTTTCCTTATTCATTTTATTTATTTTATTTATTTATTATTAATTTATTATTTGTTTATTTATTTATTTATTTATTTATTAATTTTCAGTTCTCTGAAGATGATTTCGAAGCTGAGGGAACTTCTCATCTGCGGCTCGACGGCGACCGAGTGCCCTCGTTTAGCTCTGTGCATGCAGCATATGCTGCTGCTGCTGCTGCTGCTGCTGCTGCTGCTGCTGCTGACCCTGCTGCTGCTGCTGGTGAGCCTGTTGCTCAGCCTGCAGCCAAGCGTACAGCAGCAGAAGCAGCAGCTCCTGCTGTGGCAGCAGCAGCACCTGCTGCAGACGCAGCAGCAGCGCCTGCTGCAGACACAGCAGCAGCGCCTGTTGCAGAAGCAGCAGCAGACTTGGGAGGCAGCAGCAGCAGCAGCATAGAGATTGGGGTGGTAGCCACGACGCCCGAAGAACCAGAAACCCCAAACCCTAAACCCTAAACCAGGGGCAGCAGCGCTGGCAACACTAGTCCCTCAAACTAAACCCTAAACCCTAAACTCTAAGCTGCTGCAGAGTTGCAGCAGCAGCAGCAAGCAGATGGGCTGCAGCAAACTGCTGCTGCTTAAACCCTAGGCGTCGGGGCGCGCCGTAAACCCCCCGCATGCTGAAGAGGCAAAGTTTCAACTCAATGCAATTAAATTGAATTAAGTCGAGCTAAACTAATTAATTAAATTAATTTAATTAATTTAATTCAATTTAACTGGATTTAATTCGTTCCATTTGGATTTAATTCGCCATTTCTTGCGGCCGACCGGCGCCGCCGCAGCGGCCGCTGGGATGTATAGGCAGCTCGGGCCACTCGAAATTCTGTTCATTTCAAATTTATTCATCTTTATTTATTATCATTTTTATATTTACTTATATTTATTTATATTTATTTATTTATAATTTACTTATTTCTTGCTTTGATCTCGATTAGAATTCCCCATTTGTTTCTTCTTCCGCTCTTCGCCTTCTCCGCTGCCGAACTCCTAGAACAGCAGCCGCTCGAACGGGAATATTTTGGCGTTTTTGTTTTTATTTATTATTTTATTAATTCACAAAAGAAAATAATAATTATAATTATACTAATTATAATTATAATAATTAAAATAATTACAATTAATAATTGAATTGCTTCTCTCCCCCCCCATTCATCGTTTCGACGGGTCACTTGGGCTGTCTGTGTCCGGCCCCGCATGCACGTGCTGCAGCGCAGCAGCAGCAGCAGCAGCAGCAGCAGCGCAGCAAAAGGCCGGAGAAGAGGCGCAAGAAGCCGCCAGATTGGAAGCAAATGTTGTTTTATCCTTTTTAGTTTTTTTTGAAAAGTTAAATACCTCTTTTTGGCACTTTTGCAGAAAAGTGGCGCAGCAGCAAAATGGCCCGCCACCCCCCCAGCTGTCTATACACCCCAGCAGCGGCGCAGCCGCCACCCCAACTAAAGAAAAGATCTTTTTAATTTAATTTAATAAATAATAAATAAATAAGTAAGTAAATAAATAAAAAATAAATGAATAAAAATAGACAGATGGAAGACAATTGAGACAAGTAATCCAGAGAACGAAAAAAGAATTGAAAATGAGAAAAGACAAATAATAAAGAGATAAATAAAGGCAAATAAATAAATAAATAAATAAATAAGTAGTAAATACAGAAATAGATGGTAATAATAACAGTCACAAAGAAATAAGAAATAATAATAATAATAATGGATAATAAAAGAAATAAATGACAATAATAAAGACATGGAAGTGAAGAAAGAATAAGAGTTATTAAAATGCAAAAAGACAAAATTGAAAAGAAGAAAATATGATTTTAAGGACAGCAGCAAAAGTGAACTGGACTGCAGCAAAGCCTGAGGTGTACGTACACCTCAGCGCCGCAGCAGCACAAATTCTTTTCTTCTTCTTTTGCTGCTTTTCATTTCTTTCTTTCTTTTGAACTTTCAATTATGCCTTATTGCACACTTCTAAAGTCCCGCTGCGTCCTCAGCAGGCGGTGCGCTGCTGCTGCTGCTGCAGCTGCTGCTGCTGCTGTTGCTGCTGCTGCTGTGGCAGCTGCAGGGGGGCCCAAATGGCTCTGCAGGAGGTGCAAAGAGACGCGCCGAATCAGTTCTTAGCCAACTCAAAGGGATGCAGTCCTGTTGCTGCTGCTGCTGCTGCTGCTGCTGCCGCTGTTTGCTCTTTTCTCGCTGCTGCTGCTGCGGCTTGCTGTCGAGGGCCTCAGCAGCAGCAGCAAGAATCTTCTGTAACTCCTCAGCCAGCTTTTTCCCTTCGGGGCCTTCAGGTGGAGGAACAGCAATTGCGAGGCCTTCTGCTGCAGCGCGAAGATCTGCTGCTGCTGCTGCTGCTGCTGCTGCTGCTGGAGAAGCAGCGAAGAGGGGGCTGCAACGCTTTGAGGCCCTTCCTATAGAGCCACAAAGGAAGCTGCTGCTGCTGCTGCTGCGCTGCTGCGCTGCTGCCTCAGCAGCTGCTCCTCCTGCTGCTGTCTGACGCGTTGCTGCTGCCGCCGCTGCAGCAGCAGCAGCAGCAAAGCTGGCGAAATTCCGTTTGCTGCTGCCGCTGCTGCTGCTGATGAAAAGGAACCCTCGTTTGTTTGCCTTTTCAATCTTTTTGTATTTTGCTGCATGCAGCACTTCAGCCCAGGCCCTCTTGATGGGGCCCCCATTAGGGTACTGCTGGGGGCCCCCAAGGGGGCCCCCAGGGGGCACCCCGCTGCTGCGAAAGAAGGTCCTGTGCAGCGTTTGTTTTGCTGCTTCGCTGCTGCAGGTGAAGCCATCCCTTGCTGCTGCTGCCTGCTGGAGCTGCTGCTGCTGCCGCTGCTTCTGCTGCTGCCGCTGCTGCTGCTGCTGCTGCTGCTGCTGCTTAGC